CTGAACTGGCCTATTGCATATAGAAATTCAGAAAAAAAAAATGATAAACTTACCTTTTGAATGCAACTCCGGGCGGTGAGAGGAACTCCATTGGCCTCATTTTCGTGCTCTGCACGAAAATATGCCTCTAAATTAATCACAAACTGCTTACTGCGGTCATCTAGCCATTTGCCGGGCATTGGTGTGCTTTATTATTGCTCTTAGTCTACAAAGTAAAACAGGAAATTTGAAGCAACTGATAGGTAATTCAAGATTTCGACCAGGGACACAAACACTAGAAGTTGAACAAGTGTACAAATAAATTATACAAGTGTAGATATTCTATAACACAAAGTAATTTGTAGTTACTAGCGGGGCACTGGTAGTTACGGAACTTTCTGCACAATTGTAGAATCTTTCTATAACACAACCATTACCCTTGTACACTTGTGTTACGGAATTGTGAACAATTGTTAAGAATTTCCTACCTATCCTAAACGCTGGGTAGATTCAGTGTAGTGAGGTTTTCCACCGTGAACGTACCATTTTACTTTTACAGTCTATATTATGTGGTCAAGTGATTCAGAGAGTGACCACGAAAATGATCGTGCAGTGTATCGGTACCGAGAGAGAATTAACTTTGGCATACTGCCAGACGGAAAATTTGTGGAAAGGTTTAGACTCGATCGAATTCAGTGTGAAACTCCTTCAAAATATAGGCCTAGCAATCGCTAATCGAACGAATGGATGGTACGGATTGTCATCATTACAGAAACTGCTTATTGCTCTGCATTGGTTTGGAAACGCAGGGCAGTATCATGGAGTATGTGATATGCATGGGGTGTCAAAGATGACCATCTGCAGGTGTGTTCACGAAGTTGTTGGTGCCGTAAACGGAATAAAATTTGATCAAATAATTCGATGGCCCGACAATACAGCGAACGTCTTAGAACGCTTTCATGGTTTGGCAGGATTTCCTGAAGTTTTGTGGAGCTATGATGGAATCATCATAAATATCAACCCCCCACGAATAATGAACCTGCTTACGTCGACCGCCATGGAAAACATTCAATCAATTGCATGGCCGTGTGCGGTCTTGACTTGAAGTTTTATTATGTAAGTGCAAAGTGGCCGAAAGTGTGAACGATGCGCGGGTCCTTCGTAATAGTTCTCTGAGTCGTAGAATGGAAAACGGTTGGAGACCTCATGCTAATGCGGTAATTCTCGGAGATTCCGCTTATCCTTTACGTGAATGGTTAATTCCACCAACCTATGACGATCTGATGAACCCAGCACAAACCGCTTTCAACAGATCTCACAAACGGACTCGGCGCTTTATAGAAAACGCTTTCGGCGTATTGAAGGGAAAATTTCCATGTTTGAACCACCCACGGCTTGATCCAGTCTTCGTAGCCAACATTTTTGAATGTGGTGCGATATTGTGTAATATTACAAAAAACGGAAATAACCCAGTTGTCTATAAGCAACGACTGTACAAGTGTAGAATATTTCACTAGTAGCTACAAGTCTATGAAATCATATTGTGTTACAAAAAATCGGGGTACTTGTAGCAATAAGTGAATTACTAATAACTTGTAGACTTGTTACAGTTATAAGTATTGTATTATAGGCCCCTGGGGTCGTATTTTCGAATATTCTCGTAAACGAAATTTGATATGATTTCGAATGTTCCCCATTTAATTTACATTGCTGTCAGTCAAATTTCGTGTACGAAATGTACTCGAATGGTTTCGAAAATCGCACCCCTGGGCATGAACATGAACAAACTAACATTGAACCCATATGTGTGTGATTTGGTTATTTCTACCTGTTTCAGAGTTTAATTTGATGTGTTTTAATTTATTTCAATTTCTTTGAATGTTCGTAGTTAAAACTCAGTTACCTTAAATATGGAATATTTATTTCATCTATCAATAAAATACCTGAGCAACAGGTACAAAATCTACCTCAATGTAAAAAACGGACCCCAAATAGGTAATTTAAAAGTGTTTCTTAAAGTCTGTCTCAAAAATAAATTAAGATAAAAGTCAAAATGACATTATGTTGGCAATACAATGTAAAATTATTTTTAATGCTTTCAAATTTTTTCCATAAAAAAGGCTTGTGTTGCCAAAACAGTTTCTACATTTTTGACTTTGGAAATTATCGTCAATAAAACTAGACTTTTAATGGATGGATGGATGGCAAAAACTCACTAAACACTGTAGTTGTAGTTCATTAGTTCATTAATACATAAATGACATCTCTAAAAACATGCCTTGCCAATCTTGACATTTATGACAAATGTGAAGTGGTTCAGAGGCAAATGAATGTCAAAAACTTAAATTACATAAACGTTCTCAAACTGATAAAAACATTAAGAAATTCACAGAAAATACACAGTCTCTTATGGACGTCAAGTTTGCTATGCCCATCTTGAATATTGTCACGAAGCCTCTATTGCTCCGCTACGTAGCTCGCCCTGAAAATCAGAACGGGAAGGGAAAGGGAACACCAGAATAACTCTAGATTAATATAATATATTTAATATTAGGGCAGAGATTACATTTAGAGTAGAAACACAAGTATTACCATATTTTTACCATCCCAAGCCAGCACGTCCCTTCGGGCTGAAAAGGGTCTAAGGGCACCTAAGCATATCCGTCGGGTATAAGCCCAAGCTTGATCTTTGTGGTCAGCAGCTGCTAAGAAAACCAAACCAACACCGACATTAGAAGCTAGGAAGCCTGTACTGTAGCGCAGAGTCTGGGTCGTCAGTTGAAATCTGCTCGAACAGAGATAGATACGTTTGTTTAATGTAACAATCTGGAAGTGTGTTTGTGCACATACCCGTAGCGTATTTCGCATGGTGTGGCAGATTATTGAACTAATTACTTCGATCGTTTCTGACAACTCGGTTTAATTTGTCTTTTTTGTCAGCAACTTGCCCGAAAATGTTCTATCTTTTTTTAACACATACAAAATACAAAATTGTCAAAATTTGACAAATTATTGAATCCAAAGACCATCAATCAAAAATTGAATGCTAACAATCATAACGTAAAATTTCTTCTATTATTTATATTAGAGAAATGAGAAAACATTCTGTGATCATAAATAATAATTAATTAGACAAAACCGACGCCAATAATAGTGTTTTTTCGAATTTGCGATGATGCGAGATGCAGTAAAAAGGTAAAGACAAAGCTTATAATACAAACATTTTTAGTTACTGTATATTTATAAAATTGGAATAAAAAAATAAGTTTGTTTGAAGATATCCCAATTTTTGTATTGTTCAATTACCTCCTTGACCCCCTTGAGGAATCTCATTGCATCTAATTTGGATTTTTCAAAAATAAGTTCTGTTATCGTTCTAAACAAATTTTAGCAAGTTTTTTCAACAAATGTTTTGCTTTGCAATTGACTGTTTTGAGCGTTAACAGTACTTTATTTTTAATAAATCTTAAATAAAATCAAAGTTAATAATTTAATTATTCAAAAAAGCCGCCTTTTCACTGTCGGTAAAGAAGAAACCTGCATTCAAACAACGTTCACTCTTTTATTGCTGTCCGTAGCCACCAGAGGCGCTAACGTCGACATTGTGCCAGTTAAGTACAGGGGAATGACTTCTCTCGTAGTTTACTACTATTATATTTCTCTATGACGCAATCCCTATTCGGCCAGATAGCTCCCAACTTTGAGACGTATCTAAGACGCCTACTGGATACAGAAAAGCGCTGAGATACGGCTCACAGAGTCTGGGTCGTCAGTTGAAATCTGCTCGAACAGAGATACGATGCGCAATCCCTATTCGGCCAGATAGCTTCCGACTTTTGAGACGTGTCTAAACACCTACTAGTACAGAAAAGCGCAGAGACACGACTCATTTGCCATAGTATGGCAGTGGCTTTTTATATCCAATATTTGCTGACTATTATTAGGTAAATAATTAGTCTGGTTGTGTTTTCTTGCTTAGTTGCAGTTATTTGTTTTAACCCGTGATTCAGTGCATTGAATTTTGTTATAGCCCGTGGTGCCATGTAGGGTTGACAATATTAAAAAATTGACAGTACGTCTGACACCTATTGATGAAAAATTCCAATGACCAATTAGTTATTATTAGCCGCTTTCCAGTGCCTAAATTGTTAGAGTATCATGCTCCTGAAGTGTGACGCTCTTGAACTGTTCGACATAAGCAGCACTGGAACGCTCTCGTCTTAACCCCCACCATTTCGGATTTCAGGAGCATGAAACATAGGCAAAAGGGTTGGTGCACGAGGGGGCAGGGGATAACAGAAATGAGTAGCTCAAGTGTACGACACTCTAAGCACTGGAACGCGCAAAGCAATTGTGGAGCACTCCTGAGCTGCTCAGGAGTAACTCAAAGGGTTCACTGGAAAGCACCTATTGTTACTATAATTTCAATAGATTTTTTCTACCATAATTCCTATTATAAGTTTCCTTTAATAGTGTTAATTCAATAAATAATAATGATATGAATTTTTCTTTAATAGATTTTATACTTACCTAATTACCCTAAAATACAATTTAATTTCATTTATAATATATCTACTTACTTTAATTATCGCAATAAAAGCAAAGTTTGGTAAAAGTAAATGGTAGTTTCCGTAGGCATTCCCGAACGAACGTCTATGGTGAAACCGGTACCACATGGTAAACGCTCGGACAAAGTCACATCCACTTTCTTTGTCTAACGCATAGCATGCGAAAGTCGTATTTGTGTTCCGTAGGCGGTGTTAGGCCGAACACGTTTGGACCTATTTTGGCTTGATAAACGCAGTGCGCGTGCAATAAAGACAGCAGCAAAAAGCAACATCTGTGATATATTCGAGTAAGTGACCTTCAACGTTCAACATTCGTTAGACAGAGTTTATATTTGGAATATGTATGTTTCAATTTTATTTATTTACCATAATTACAGTCAGACTATAACTAAATTGAGAAGGCAATTTTTAAACAATAAATTTATACGAAATTAAAAACACTAACAAGAAACAAGAGAATAACTAAGATATAGGTAGGTAGGTACCTTAACCTTGGTATAGGTACCCTATTGGTTACTCTGTATTTGAATGTTCTTCCACAATAATATCACTTAGAGCTTGAATATGATCTGGATGGATTTTCGTGAAAGTTTTTATGTCTTCCAACATAGCATTTATGTCTATCATATTTTTGTAATGCGTCAGCTTAAATGCACTTATCATAACCGCCGCTGGCAAATACAATTTAGTGCATAATAAATATCTGAGTGTTCTCATTTCCTTCTTATAAATACTCTTCAATTGCTTCAACCACTTTGGTTTCGTCCCATACAAATGCATCAAAAGCAGCACACACAAATTTCTGCATGCGTCTTGCAAGTTGTAATTCCTTATAATTTTTTCAAAGAACACATTGAAGTCGTCCAATATGGTGGTAGCTGGAATTTTGAATTGCAAAACTTGCAGAACATCCCTCTCCGTTTGTTTGATATCTTTAGGAATATAATTTACGTGCGTTATTTTTCTTAAAAACGTCCTGACTGCTTCGATACCCAAAGTTGGTCCTCCTCCAAAGAATTTACTTGCAATGAAAATTGTTGTTATAACTAATAGTAAGGGGTCTTCTACTAGTTCCCCGCGCTGCTCTTTCAAAATCAGATATTGTTCGGCTACGTCCACAGAAGAAAAGAATACTTGGTCGGTTTGCCTAAAAATGTCGCAAGCCTGTTTGATAGTGTTGATTATAATTGGATCCAAAGCGGACTCCACGAAATAAGGCAAAGGTTTCTGCATTTCCTCAAACCATTCTCCTACTAGATGGTTTTCGAAATCCTTATCCATAACCGACATAATTTGTTAATTGATTATCTACAAATTTGGTAACTTAATTGAGGAATACCTACATTACGCATTATTCAATGGTGAAGCAAACACAATTGACAGATTCGCGGCAGTTTTTATTAAATTAAAAATTCGCTTACCGTTGCAAATCAAAATAATTCTATAAGTACTCGAACAAAGTTCCGCAAAAACTTGAAAACCGAAAATAGCAAAAATCAAGATGGAGTTGCCTTATTACTTTGACGTTTATAAATTACTTGGCCAACTAGGTTTTTTTGTGGAAATGCCCATGTTTTATTGGTTCAAATTTTGATTGGTCGAGCAGTTTGTAGATGGCGGTGCATTGATTCAACTAATTTATAGTGACTCTATTAAACCACAGGGACGACAATAGGGCGATTTGATGTTTGACGTTCAAGATGGCGTGGCGGCATAACAACCCAAGCAGCAAAGGGTAGTTGAATCAACGTTGATTAAAGATTGATTGATGTCGTAGGCGTTGATATACCAAAAATAAACGTTGAATGGGCATTATGAAAACAACGAATTAGTCAACGTTTTCTAAGCAAAGTCTATTCAACCTTGAATATAGGTTGAAGGAGAAATTGCAATTTTGAAAAAAATAATTCAAACCCATCGGTACCAAAGTATCTAGACTAGGTATAGCAACTTTGAATAGTTATATCACTGGTTTTTCTCTGTTTGATTTAGCCCATCACTAGATGTTAAATAAACGTTGAATGGAGGTTCAAAAAATGTTTTTTGAAATAAATATATAATATATGTTATTAGTAAAATTTAAAATATCGATAAAAAACCAGATATTTATTATTATATATCTTAATGAATGCAGGTTTAATGTTTAAAGTTCCAACATTCAACATGAAATAATATTATATAAGTTCCTTAAAAGTAGATAAAGTGGTATCTCCATGCAAATTCATTCAAACTTCCCGCTAAGGTGCATCGCGTCCCGCCATTTGCCGCCAGCGCCCTCTGAGCCCAACCTGTGGCGTGACCCAGCCCATCATTGCATTGGCGTTTGGCCGCTGGCGTCATCACGTTCATCGCGTCATCCTTCCTATTCACTCACGTTTTTGTTGATTTTATTATTTTGTGTAAATTTAAAATTATTGAATGTGTAGAGGGTGTTATTATTTTTGTCATTGTGTGTTTATTAATGTGTCCAGCCTGGATTTAACTTCGATTGGTGGAAAATGGTGGTAGGCGAAAATAAATCCTCAAAATTATAGAAACCTTTTCAGTTTTCATACTTTTTAATTCCTATTTAAGAGCAAGCCAGCCAGTTGAATTTTAACAATATCCAAATAATGTTTTATTTTGATCAAATTTGTATCCCCTTACTGTTTCGATATATTAAATTTTGTGTCAAAGAGCTTGTGGTTTGTGTTTATTTAAAAAATGTGTGGAATAAAGTACCTATAACCTCAAACATTTTGGTGATTTTATTTTAATTGAAAACTGTTCTGCCAGAGCCAGCTATAGAACAAGTTTCATAAGACGCAATTTGATATAAAATGTCTTATGAAGCATGTTTTTTGTACTATTTTTTCTATTTCAACTTGTAAAGAAAGGTTGAGCTCAACGTAAAATCTAACGTCTTAATTACATCTGGTCAAGGTTGTGATAACGGTTGAGTTCAACGTGAAATCTGACGTCTCGAATACATCTGATCAACGTTGTTATAAGATTGAGGCCAACAAAAAAAACGACGTTAATTCAACGGTCACATTCAACGTTGTCTCAATTATGACATTGTACCGTCCTGTCAACGTACATTCAACTGTTGTTACAACTTAATGCAACGATGGGAAGTATCCTACATTCAACGTTATATCGACCAAACCTTGCTGCATGGGAAACTAGCTATCTTTTTTTAGTGAATGAAAAATGACAATGACCGACATAGAATGGTGTATCCATCGGTAAAATTGGATGAGAATAAACACGCAGGGGTCCATAAGAGACTGTGTATTTTCTGTGGATTTTTGCGTGTTTTTATCAGTTTGAGAAGGTTTTTTGATATTTTTTTTATTTTTGGCGTTGCTGTGGTTCATGTAATTTATGTTTTTGACATTCATTTGCACAGCTTTTTGGGGTCCGTTTTGTACCTGATGCCCATCAGGTATTTCATTGGTAGATAAATATTCCAAGTAACTCGATTTTAACTACTAACATTAAAGGAAATTGAATTAATTGGTAGAAATAACACACATTTATATGAAGGAAATGTTTAACCTCAATGGTTTGTTTACATTAGTGCCGCATCGCCATCTTGAATTATCAGCTGATTCGAATCGCCTAATTGCCGTCCTATTTTTGATTGGTTCTTTAAAATCCTATTTTCATATTGAAAAATGAGCAAGAATATGGCGGCGAGAGCGTGGCTCACTTCTAGATTCCTATTTGAAATTAGCAAGAGCATTTTACCGACATGTACTGAGCTAGGTGTACTTATCAGGGCCGCAACTAGCACCCTCGGCGCCCAAGGCAAGTCCAAATTTTGGCGCCGCTCCACCGCCTTCTCAAAAGTAACAATAGATTATATAATAATATGTATAGGACAGTAGCGTAAAACAAGTAGATAATGATAATTTATTGTATTGATTAACTTTTGGTCTATCACAATTCACAAACCACGCAAAACAAAACGCAACAACAAAGGCTCATATTTTGAACCGATTCCGAACCAGTCTGGAACTAATTGAGGACTGTCGTAGAGCGCATGCCCAGCTCTGGAATCGGACCGGATTTTATTTTAGCGCGAACAGTTTTGGAACGAGTTCTCCAGACTGTCTAATATGTATACGAACGTTATGTGTCAATCCTGAAGATCTTGCTAAAATCCTAGGACCGCTAGAACTGGTTCAGAAACGGCTCCGAACCGATTCTAGTTGATCCGCGAATCCAGAACCGTAACTAAAAGTTCGGAATTTTGTAATCCGCGAATGCCATTACTTGAACTGCGCATGCGAAATAGTTGCGAACCAGTTCAGAATCCTTACCGCGAACGAAGCTATTGTAAAAGTAAAAGCTGTTTACGGAAACTATGATCGGGTTAACCCGATCATCACAGACATATTTTGTCTTTTTTCAATTGTATTTTTTAAAGAAAGATAGAAAACATTCAGCTGCTGATCGGGTTAACTCGATTATAGTTTCGGTAAACGGCTAAATAGAAAAGAGTGAAAAGAGATAATGCATGCAACATGCAGAGGGCGCCCACGTCGCCCACAGTGGTCTTGCTCAGTTTGGTTGGATGAAAGCTCGACTCGAAGCTAATCTCTGACTAACGAATGCTGAATGCTACGTCATCAATACTTGAATTTATCACAGACATTGCAATTTGCTGCTGCCTTTTGCACGCGCACTATGTTTGACATAATTTATATGATTACTATCGATATTCGTATTGTTGATGGTTGACAAATGGTCTGTTCTCACAGGAGTCTCCGACAGTTCGAAAACTGTCTGAAAGCATCGCCTATATATGTTTTCAATGGCGTCGTTCCAAGATAAATCGATAACTTAGCTGAGAGATTATTTGTGACAGTTTGCAAACTGTCAGAGACTCTTGTGAGAACAGACATAAAGAGAGATGTAACACAAGCAAAATAAATTTCCGTGATACGACAAATGACGCGTAAGACCATTGCATTTTTTTTGGATTGTTAAATATGGATGAATTAAATTAGGCGCCTTCGACGCCCCGATACTCCGGCGCCCTAGGCGGGCGCCTAGTTCGCCACCCCCTAGTTGCGGCCCTGGTACTTATATAACAAAAGAAGCTGTATTAATGCGATAACCAAAATTTCAGATGCATATATCAACTGCGTAGGTATATGGATGTCCAGTCATATACCTATTGGCTATTATGCCTATACTTGACCCTGTTAACTTTGGTTGGATTAGGAATAATGGAATTCTCGAGCCTGCTTTGATGACTGCTGATCCCATACCCACCGATATAAGACAACTATAATGAACATCTGCGAAGATAAATTATGTCAAAATAATAAATGTGTCTGCTTGAAAGAGGGTTTAACATGCTGCAGCGATTGTTCGTGCAAAACTTGTCAGAACAATGTTCCTGATTTATATGAGGATGACGAAGAAGAAAATATTTAAAGTAAATTTCATAAAAAAACGATTCAATTACTTACTTCATATTTATAGATTTTTTTATTTTATTTTTAGATGTTACGCTAACGCACTAACGCAGATGATTTCCAGAATGGTAGCCGCTAGCCGCTTTCAGCATCAGAGTGCATTTCAAAGTTCCGAGATAAAAAATTTGTAGTTCTATAACCGTTAAAGTTAGTGACTTATTTTTTTTTAAAAAAAACTTCGCCAATGTTTTTACTACATTTGATTCCATATATATGTATAGAAATCTTCAATAATTCACATTGCTCGCCGCAGGGTGAAGTTTTAGATGCATGATTTTGATAATTCTCTATTCCTAGCTTTTAAAAAAAAATTAACCTTTTCGAAATTTCTGATTTGAAGAAGCGCTCATATTTCAAGTATAAGTGTGAAAAAAATCATAATTTTAGATTGTATGCTTAAATTAATACAATGGGTAATGTTTAGAAAAATGTAGTTTTTCAAATTCGAACTCAGTCACGTTTAAGGGCCGATTTCAAAGTTCAGTCCTATTAAAACAAGTTGTACATTCCCATTTCCTATGCCCCAAAGTGTCCTCTATAAGATGGTATAGGTTTCATCTGGTTATACCTCGGAATCACTCAAAGTCATAATTTCATTGTGATTTTACTCCACTATTCCTACCTACAGGCGTTTACGGGTTGAAAGACATTAGCCGCTTTCCAGCTGACCATTTTGAGCACACAATCGAGTTTTTGCCCGCGCAAATGCTTCAAGCGCGTGTTCGTGTTCCAGCCGTACTGCGCTTCGAGAGCTGCTAACTTTTGCGTTTCAAACACAGAACACTGTGCTGCACCGTGCTTGAAGCACAAACACAACTAGTTTATTTGCCAACACCTTCAAATGTCAGCTGGAAAGCGGCTAGGGTCGTCCAGGATGTCCCAGGTGTGATGTCACATAATCATAATGTTAGTTAATCACTGTAGTTTAACCAGAGATGCTTCCCCCTACAAATATAGGTTTCAACTCAAACGATAGAAGCAATAATTATTTCACTTAATAAACGCTGCTTTTACAAATACAGTAAATGTTATAAAAGTAAGAATCCCAAAATGCTAAAGATATAAAAACCCCTAAATTAATTTTGTTAAGAATTCTCAAAACCTTGATAAAATATGTACGTCAAATAAAATTATGTTTATTGCGAATATTTTATATAATATGGATTTTTATTATGAACAATTCTCAGAACAATTAGTATATGTTTAATTTTAATTTTTTAAAAAAATATAAAATTTTAAAAGTAACCCACAGAGAGCTGGCTTAATTTTTTCTTTTTTGTCTGTAAAATTTTAGATTTTTCACGTTTCACTGAGTGAAAAATAAGCTACCTAGACCATTATTTGTAAGTTCACAATAGATTGTTAATCCCAGAGGATTTTACAACTTAAAATCACTACTTGTAGGGGAAGATTGTTCAAAGTTATATGTCGAACATACGGTAATTTTGTCGGCTAAATTCAATTACTTTAATTTTAAAGCTCGAGAATTCAAAACCAGTGGCTGTTAACGAGTTTTGAAGATTATTTACTACATTTTGTAGAAGAACAACAGTAGATGGTTGATTTCTACCTGAGCAATTCAGTATACGGTCACATGTATAAAGCACCTAGGTGCACCAACTGATTCACCCACAGATATAATTTAAAATCCCATCAATCTAAGAACTAACTGAGCCGGAAGTTTGTGTAGGTTCATCTATGATCTGGGAAAAATATAGATTATAGTTTCCAAGTGAAAGGACTAATAATGAGCTTGTCAAGGCTAAAACAATCGCAAACCTGCAAATATCCAGAAAGAAAATAAGAAAGATTATATTATTACAGAGGGGCTTTATTTACATAATTTGCAGCTAATTTGGCTTAATACAATCTAAGGCTACAATTATAGTGGATGACAAAAAATTAAATATATTCAATGGAATTTTTTGAGTATTTTGATTTGGCTATTGGCTATACAGAGTATTGAGGTAATGGTCTTTCAACATCAGCTTTGCTGGGGTGGTCACTCTCATATTTCTAACTGGAGAATGGCCGACGCAACCAGCGAGGTCAATTTAAATGATACAGAGATATAAGTAAAATTGTTAATAAAGGGGTTTATAATTCATTGAATATCAACGATGTCGCCTTAATAATGATCCAGAGATACGAACAAGAAAAACTTTTTTTCTCTCACAAGAATATTATTTTAATTTGCCGGTTTTGGGAGCTTTGATTATGCTCCCTTCAATGTTCCATATTTCCCTATATTATGCAAATTAAGCACAGGCGTAAGGCGGCAAAATTTCAAAAAATAACCAGGAAAAGATAAAAAATACACAAGAAAAGAAAGCCAAAGATCCAACGTGAAACGCGGTTCTGTTTCGCGTTGGATCTTTATAATTTGAACAATAATATAACAAATAACAAAGCACAAAAAACAAATACCTACCAAGAAAATTATAAATAAAAGAATACACACAGATCATAATACTGTGTACCAAGTGTAATAAAATGTAGGTAGTACAGACAACAAATTTTGAAGGCTCGAAGTAAACATGTTTGGGCCTGACACCTGGGGTGATTTTTCTGGTCTGGTGGCGGGCTTCATTTATTCCTGGCGTTCCTTATGAGTTTGCCGCCTCCGCCACCCAAAAGGCTGGCTACGCATAGGCCACTGTTCGTGTCCTGTATCTTTTTGGCCCCCCAGATTTCTGAGGCAAGCGCCACTCCTGCCAACATGAGGGCGGCCTTTTTAAACACACATACGGCGGAAAATTGGTAAATCTGGCACTAGGCCTTCATCAAAACCATGGTTCCAGTAAACTTTAAAAAAATTCTTGTGAGAGAAAGGACTTTTCTTTTTCCTACCTTTGGACTGGTTATATTCTTTAAATTTATTATTATTGGTATTCATCGTTGAATTTGGTTAAAGAACGGCGCACTGCAAAAAAATAATTGATCGGAACAAAATACATACGCATATATTATTACCATTGCTATCTGACGAACAATTCGAAAAGCAGTTCGTCAGAAACTTCATCCACTATAACCTTAGCTTAATTTAAAAGAAAAATGAACAAGTAGTTCTAAACTTAAATAAAAAATAATTTACAAAATAAAAAAAAAAACATTTTAAAAGATTATGTGCAAAACAAGGTACAATATTTTCTATAGCACAAAAATTTACAGGTAGACAGGTACCACAAAAATTCAAATAACGTATTTACAATAAAATGAACATCAAATTATTCATTCACTCAATTTTAATATCAATATTGTATAAAAAAAAATATACAGTAATCAAAACAGAAAAGGAGCTACTCTGGGGTATTTTGAAAATAATTTATTTATTGCATTAAAAAAAATATTGTCGGTTTTCCATAAGACACGTAGTTCCATATGAAACCAAAAAGATTGTTTTTATCACGGTTTGTTTGTTACTTATTCAATAAAAAATTACAAGTTTGTAAATTTGCTCTCACATAAGCTTTGTTCCAACCGAGGTTCCAACGCAGCAAAACCTTACAATGTACCGTCACGATTCTGCGCAAAGGCCAAAATTTGGTTCCCAAATCGTTCATGGACGGTTTTTGACGTGTTGGAACAGACTATATTTGAATAAAAAAGACATAATAATGTCGTTAAAAACTACGAACATGTTCAGAAGTGGCTCCTTTTTCGTTTTGGTCAGTGTATTATAGGAATGTTTGTCGAAAACAATAATCTTTTCTTTAAAAAAAACATTACCTAGCTTTTCTTTAATAATCAAAACTTCGTTTTCAAGTAGTTTTAATAACCAAGATTAAAAGCTATACTTTTATATTCCAGAAATAAAGTGCCAGTTGCCATTGTTTGTTGTAGATCATTATAAATCAATTTGAAAAAAAATAAATAAATAGTATGGAGGTTAACTACTGTTGGCGATAAACCTGAAAATGGATGGCAAATAATGGCAAAAACTTGCGATCTTTACGACTACTCTTTACTAAGGAAAAACGATTCTCTAGGTGTAGGTGCACCTACGACCTTTAGTAGCAAAAGGAGATTAACTCCTAGAAATGTAAGTTTTTTACACTAGTGTTTACACAAGTAGACTGATAGCTATTTTTGATAATCACTGTAGTACACGACTTAAAAATGCCTCAAAAATTGGTAAAAATTTGACAGCAAAATCATTATTTTGTTCAGCAAACGTTCTGCGTATCGTTCAATTTCAATTCCATTGAAAATATTCCTATTGCTATTCTTTCGATTAGAACAAAATGATTTCCATCATGTATTGATTTTATGATACATCGTTTAGCATTGATATACAACTTAAATTTTTTTCATTAAAATTTGAAAAAAGGACCCAAACAACAACGTACATAGATTTGACAATCCTATCATGTCATTTGAAGATCTTTACAATTATTATGAGGCAAACCTAGTAATACGAATTCCTCTATAATTATAATTACATCCTTCTTAAAGGGGGTGTGCGCCAAAAATTAATGCTATAGTGTAAAAAAATCCAAGAATAACTGTTCAAACCTCATTATTCTATGATAAACCATCACCTTAAAGCAGAGCTGGGATCGTTACTTGAAAAAAGTAACGCGTTACTTTACAGTTACTTTTGCTTAAAAATAACTCGTTACTTAAAATTTACAGTTACTTTCGAATAATGATAACTTTATTTCCGTTACTTATTGGAAAGTAACGCGTTACTGTAACTTCGTTACTTTGAAAGTAACTTCTTTACTTTAAAAGTAGTTCGTTACTTTTAAAGTAACGCGTTACTTCAAAAATAACTATTTACGTCGAAAATTGCGTTATTTCTTAATTTGACTCACCAACACAGCAGTCCTAAGACCTATACGAAATGCCAATATGTTTTTAGTTTGTGAGTCCGACTATGTGGAAGAGTATTCTTGCAAAATTGAAACGGATTAAGGATTAAGCGACTGAATAGAGCACTTGATTTTGGACAAACCTGCTCTTTGAAGTGTCCCAGTGTCTGCATATAAGGGGTTTTCGAGCGCTTGACCGGTAAATACCGCAGTCATGCCCTTGGTTGTCCTGGGTCACACTTTTTTGACGTTTGTTTGACAGTTTATGGTCAAAGCACTTCCAGAACGCTTGAAATTAGTTGGTTATCATTTTGGTTTTGATTTGTCAAATTTGTCTGCTTCTCCCTTCCCCTTAATCCCCCTGTATTTGTTTACATTTTAAGCTCTAACCAAACAATTATATTTTTATTATTTTCCAATTAATTTTCTATTTTCTGGTTCGCTCGTTTCTTTCAAAGATGAATATGCATTTAGTGATCCTTGGGCTGTATCCATATCGTCGACGTTGAATATCTTTTCCCCCATAGTTCAAGAGGATTTGGAACCTTTCTCTTCTATCCATGATGATTATTTAAATTACAAATTTAAAATACTTAAACTGGGACTGGACCACTGGACTAACACAACCGCAAATGCAAATTGCAAATAACAAAATAAACAAAAAAGAAAAAGAAACGTTCACCATTAATTTTTTCAAATGTAAGTCAATTGTAATCAACAGAATAACAGAAATGGTGGTAGGTGAAAAACAGGTCGAAAGTTGTGTAAATACTGGTAAATACCGCTGCTTGTCAATGTCGAAGAATAACGTCACAACGAAGACCAAGGGCTCGTTTTTAGCCATTTTTAGGTCATGACCACGAATTATCGAACCGCTTAAATTAAATTGGTAAATACCCACAGTAAATGGTATTTACCGGTCAAGCGCTCGAAAACCCCTATAGTGTCCTTAGAGCAGAGGCGGCGCGTGGTACGCCCAAAAACGATTATTTTGAGCTTTCAAAAGAAATTTTCTGTACTACCAACATTTTATTTGATGTACAAAGTTTTTGGATTACTTATTTTCCTTTTCCTCACTCGTCAATTATTTGTAAAGAAGATAAACAAATTGAGAGAACGAGCTACTTTCATAGTAACTAGTAACGCGTTACTTACAGCGTTACTTCAGGAAAGTAACTTCGTTACAGTTACTTATCAATCAATCTGAAAAGTAACGAAATTACCAAGTAACGCGTTACTTTCAGTAACTCGTTAAAGTAAAGTAACTTTTTTTTGTCGTTACTCCCAGCTCTCCATTTGGTTGTTCCCGGCATGCGTCAGTAGCTTTTGTTTAGATGATTGCAGGTGGCACAGGAAAAAAATATGTAAATTCAATACACTTCACTATCTCGTGCAGCGCTTGAGCTCTCGTGACGTCATAAGGTGAGACGCGGTATCTTCATAAAGCCGTCAATTGTCATAGAGGAATGCGGTTTTCACTGTTATTCTTAGATTTTTTTTTTGAGGTGAAGTTGTTTTTTTTGGCGCACACCCCCTTTAAACATTCCATTTAACGAGTTTGTGATTCGCATTAATACAAATTGAATGTTTCGAAAAAAAAAAAAAAAAAAAAATACGATTATTATTCAAAATCATCCTAAATGGATCCTGACATCATTGTATTTGCCGTTCTTTCCAGAGATTTCAATTTTGTTGGTGGCACTTTGTGATCTCTCAATGAAGTAGCTATATTTACAGTAGCCCCTCCATTTTCTCTTATAAAAGTCTATAGTATAATTTATTTTTCAAATTTAGTAAGATTTTTGTTTCTAGGGCCAATATGAAACACTCTTCTGTTTGTCAACAGTTTTTGTTTTGACATCAAGTTTATATTGATTGATTTGGCTGGTATAGTGTTTTTCTGGGTTTTACTGTTGTAATTTTTCTTTAGCTAGATATAGGTAGTCATAAAGCTCATGAATAAATACCATTGTATTTTGAAAAATAACGTTTGTTATTTGTGTTTTCAACTTAAAGATTATAAAATAAATAATTGAGCGAATGTTTTTTACCAATTATTGTTTTCGAAACATTTATCTTAAAATAATAAATTAAAATGAAATTCTGCTTCAAGTAGTACCTAAACCAAACAATTACGTTTATCACCCTATCCGATTCCTGTCATATGGACAAATATAATTATTATGCCTCCAATTATATACATACATATACTACTTGAAAAAAATAAAATAAATAAATAAATCAACAATTTAAACAAAAATATTATTACAGCTTCTAGTGTTTTTATAAATACTTATGTTTAGACTTATTTGATATTAAAATTGTTAACAACAATAATAAAACAAACACATGTAAAATTTTAAAATTCTTACAAAAATAAGAAACTACCTATACATAAGAATTTAGTATGACTTAAGTACGAATTTTGGAAAATTTTGCCTCTTATGTACGCTTAAATTACAATATTAATATTTAACAATTCTATGTGTGAGTTTTCAAAAAGAAAAGAAGTCGAAGAAAAAAAACTAAAAGATTACCGTGTTATAGTGAATTATTATATGTGTTGTGTTGCTGCTTCTTTTTTCTGCAATCCGGGCAAAACCACTGTCCTTTGGGTGGTACCATAATTGACACACATTCAAAGTGAAACCATTCAATTTGGCAATCACTTGAATCACATCTGAAAACATAATATTTTGTTTTTATTAAATATATGCACACAGATTAAAAGAAAAAAGATAAAGAGTTATTTGCACATTGAAATACACCAACATTTCTAAAGAACAACATTAATGGACATGAAAAAAATATATTGAGCTTTGAAAAAATTACAAAAAAAAGTTTTACAAAATAATAAAACAATCTAAAAAAAATAACTACTCCTCCCAAATATATTGACTGTTGGGATTTTTTCTAACTTTTGTATAGCCCTCATATCTATTTTTAGTGTTATGAACTCTTCATTAATCCAATCTCTGTTTTCTCTCTCATATTTCATTATTTTTGAATGAATCTACCAATTTATCATTCAAACATATTATTTGTTTATTAGCGCCTTGCAAGTGAAAACTTTCTGTACATGTTTCCATTGTTTGAAGCTTCTTTGTTTTAGCATATCTGCATTCTTATGCTCAATTGTAACTGGTTCACCTGACGGTTCACCCTAGTGGTCTGTATTATTCCTAAAGGAATCTAAAATTTCTGCTGTTCTAGCTTTAGTACAACACAACAGTCATAATGGATGTTCAAAACAAAAGTAAATCAAGATCACTATGATTTTTCAAATGTATGTCTTGGGAATATTTTTTTTTTAAAAATTTTGTCATTGAATTTTGTAATGTCAGTCAATCCTGACCAATGAAGAAATAATAATGCAACGTACGTTTACATGATCAAAGCACTCTTTAATTTTTTTTTTTTTGAAGACCCCTTATCTGCATGTACACAGATGTCTGTTACAACCATATTGTCTAATCGAAAGGTTTAGCCTAAAGGGAAAAATCACCTTACACCCACAAAAAAAATAGTTATAATATTAAAAGGTAAAGCTATAAGTTTATTGTGAAAGTTATGCACTTAAATAACAAGGGTACGAATTCACGGTCAACGCGTGTTCGATGACACATGCACAAACTAGGCTAGCAAAACTAGGCTTATTTTGAGCTGAAGCTCAATCAAATTCGCTACAAGCTAATTTTCAAGCTAATTTTTTCGACATTGTGTTTCTTTTGAGGTTCTATATAACTGGCTAAAAATCTCAAAAAATTCGATATGGGGCGCAGCCCCGAAAACAACCCCAAAAGAACATTTTTTAAGCTTTTTGCAATTTTCTAAAAATTAACAAGTTTTTCGAAAAACTTGCAGCAAACCTTTTTTGTAGAGCACAAAATTTGCAATTTTTTGGTACAACATACTTTATTATTTAAATAAGTTTAAGATATGAAAGAGTATAGGTATATAAAAAAGTAAGATTTAAATTTGTATTGATCTAGAAAGTATTCTTGGAAGCTAACTTGGGGGAAGTCGAAAAACCTAGAAATTTTCGAACTCTTTCAGTTTTTGCTATAACTATAACTTCTAAACCATGCGTTTTTAGCCAAATACACCTATTTATAAATTTGAATAACATTAAATTTCCTTTCAATTTAACTGGTCAAAAGCATTCTTTAACGCAATAGTAATCGAGATACAGTGGTTCAAAGATACAAAAAAATCTCAACTTGTCAAAATTTTCTTCCAGTCCGAACATAATTTAAACCAAGCATGGGATAAACATCTTTTATTCTCGTCTCTTTCACGTAAATTCACAGTCCACTGTGCTCCTGAATTATTTTTCTATTGTATCCTATTCTAATAATTATTTTTGAGAAATAATTATTGATTCCTTGACCTTGAATAGTTATGCTACTTCCAGACTTCCAGAACCTATTCCAGGCACTATCAAGCGACAATCTGTAATGAGCAAATTCGGAATCAACTTCAGTTCAGTTAGCATTCGCTAGTTTTTTCAACACAACAAAAGAATTATTATTATATGTTAAGGTAACTATATCTGTGTTGTTTTGATATCATATTATTCGTATAAGCAATATTTTTCTACGTCTCAGTTTGTACTTGTACTAGTCTCACTTAGTACACATTTAGGTACCAACTGAGACAAAAACATTCACAAAGAAATGTATATTTTTATTTTTCCTGTGACATTATCTTCAGTTTCTGTTAAGGCTCTCATGAGCGTAAATGGTTGTATTGTTGACTGAGCCAAAGAGTTTCCAGATTTTTCCTTAAATAAAAAACTTAGAACCAAGAAGGCCAATTTCGTTCACTTAGTACTACCCTCCCCTATCCCATGCTTGATTTGAATAATTGTGGTCGGCCAGAAGAAATTTTTGACAAGTTGAGAATTTTTCTGTATCTTTGAACCACTGTATCTCCGTTACGATTGCGTTAAAAAATACGTTTGACTAGTGAAATCTGAAGGAAATTTAATGTTATGCAACTTTATAACTAGGTGTATTCCGCTAAAACGCATAGTATAGAAAATATAAGCAAAAAACTAAAAAGTCCGAAAACGTGGTTCTTCGACTCCCCCCAAGCTAACACAGGGTCCTCGAGGTCGAAAACTCAAGATTTCGCTCCACAGACTACCCACAAATGAGATACCAAAATATCGATAACTTCGGAATACTTTCCAGCAGAAAGTACTTGCCTGCTGGACTAATTATTGTCCTAGGCAATAACTACAGCTTGCAGTGCATTTTAAATTATTTTTTCTTCAACTGCAAGATTTAGTTCAATCCGACTCACAGCCACAAAACAAAAATTTTAAAATAAAATCCGGTGTGATATCTTTTAAATTTTTTTGTGGCTGTAGGACGTTTTCAACTTTGACTCAACTCTAATCCTCTAGGTTTAATTCTCTGCCCATCCACAACTGTACCTGAAGATGAACTCTCTTTGTGTGGGACTCTGCAGCTTCGGATGTAGGTGGTAAAGTTGCTATATAGTTCAAAATTTTAGAATAAATTTTGACGGGCAGTTATTTGGTTATATTTAAAATAACGATACTCGTTCAAATTTTGGCTGTTGTGACTCCCGTACTATTTTAAGATAAAGGTGGTGTTTGTCACTAAAATAAATAACTGTTAAGTTCTAAGGCCTGTATCAACACTAAAACTTCTTTAAATAATAAAAATGGGTATACCATTTGATTCGACATGTTGTACTCTACAAAAAACGTGCCCTGTACTTTTTTGTTTAAACTTACCGTTTTAGAGAAAATTCCAACAACCTAAAAAATGTACCTTTGGGGGTGGTTTTGGGGTTGCGCCCCCTATAGGATATTTTGGGATTTTTAACCCATTATAGAAAACACTAAAAGAAATACAATGGCGCAAAAATCAGCTTGTAGCGAATTTCTTAGGGGTTGCCCACCTAGTTTTACTAGCCTAAACCCCGGAATAGGCAGTAACAACACGACGAGGCGTTTGTGTATGATTTAATCATAATGTTACGTAGGTGATTAGTTTTATTTCATTGAATTTTTTGTACAAATTTTGTATAATTTTCGATAATAAATCAGTATTCAACTACCATTGTTGTGTTACTCAACCTACTATGGTCAAGCCTTTTTGCCAAATATCTATAGTGAGGCTGCTATAGAGTAGTAGGAAATAGAAAAAGAGGTTAGGAAATCCCTAAGTTTTTCCATATATTCTTCTTATTTTCCATTTGCTCTCCGATGTTCAGCTTATTTTCAAGGACTTGAAAACGTTTCACTAGATATAGCATTGTTTCTAACAATCAAGATTTTTGTTTGCTACGTGAAATGCAGAAAGAAAAACTTTACAGCCAGAAGAGCCCTCCGCTCCCTTTTTACGGAATGTATAAATACCATTTTTAGAATTTGATTTACACATAAAAGCATGCGCCTGACTCCACAGCATACCCATAACCATAATAATCTATTCTTTAAACAAATTCAATTTTAGTACTAGTACATAATAAAATAGTGCTTAATCAATATTACTGTGTTGATTTTTCAATTATTTTTATGTAGAACTATCACAGCCTATAAAATCTCAAAGTTTAATTATACATAATCCAAAGTGCCTTTTTATATTTATGATAAAATTGAAGCTTCAATGTGCTTTTACTCAAATAGTGAATATCCAATTTTATACTTCAGTAATTTAAATCTCCTGAAGTACTGTTAAATTTCCAAAGAAAAAAACTTACCCTATCATCTCCGATACCTCATCATAAGGACATTTACAATAACAATATAGTTGAGGCTTCGGCAGTCTAGGTGGTTCTCGAGGTGGTTCTGTAAGTATTCTTGGGGGTTGTGAAGGTACGTCGCCCAAATCAGAATCATAAGATTCAGTTGAACTATCGTCGTTTGGTTGAGGAATGAATTTATTAGGGTTCGGTAAACGAATTGGCGCTACCATTGGAACGGGCTGCAAAGAATAAAATTATAATAATATGTTATATTAAGAGGCGTGTTCGGTGACTTGAGTTGCACAACCTTGCAACTGAAGTATAAAGAGAAGCCCAGAAAAAAGCCAAGCATTGATGTGGCTCCAACAGACAGTTGCTCAATCCTATAAAGATCAAGCAAGTTGTGAACTTAGAAATAGTTATGTCAACTTAGTTAATATGAAGAAAAACCAATAAATTCAAATGGCTTCGCCCGATGAGTATTTAACCTGCCACACTGATGATACTAAATCTTATTGGAGTTGTAAGGGATGTATATATTTATTTATTTATTTATTAGCAATAGTTATAACAGTTATAATTTATGATATATTATAAATCGTAGACATCTGTACTTAAGATTTCTAAAAATATTTAAATTTAATTTAATTTGAAAATTTAATGCAATACCTATTAGTTATACCAATCCTAATACAATTCCCTAAATACTGCTAACAGTATTTAGATGCACAATAGTATTTAAAATACTGTGTGTGCACCCATTAAACTTAATTCATTTATATTATTTTGAGGTTTGTACATTCATTTAATGTTTTAGTTTTTGATACAATTTAATAAATAACAATTTCAACATTTCAGGTGTAATTTCTTAATACAATAAATTTCTTCCTATCTTCAAATTTACCAATAATTGTTTGTACTTTTTATATCACATAATTAATCCTATATCCACTATCAACAATCCATTCTGTTAAGCGTTTTTAATTTTGTAATATTTTTTTTGTTTATAGTTATCAGGTAAGTCATTGTAAATCTTTGGACCCACACAGTAAATGTGATTTGGGCAGGTCATGTGCTTGGGTTGTTGCAGTTCAACCTTTCCCTGAGCGGTACTATCTTTTTTTCTTAAACAGCAGTCTTAATAATCCCTCTTTGGGATACCTGTAATTTTGATAGAGTTGTTGTGCCTGCATTCCCGCACAACACCAAACCATCGTTTATTATGTATGGACTCCGCCAACGCACAATAAATTGTCCTTAAAGTTTTTAAGGTTAATATTTTTCTCAGTTCATAGAATTTGTGTATAAGTTTTCTTACTTTTGCAGTTATACATATACTCAACATGTTCCTTCCAAGTTAGTTTTTCATCCAAAATAACTCGAAGGTATCTTAGGCCCGACTTTCTTTTTATGATCATATCACACTTACAATGTAGGCCCAAATCACATTGAGTCATGAACTTTAATGCACTCGAAATTCGGCAGTGAGCGGGAGGAAAGCGAAAAAGCCACAAAATTGGTTTTCTCCACATTTAGGGATAGTAAACTTTCATCTAACCAGTTTTTAATTTTTTGTAATGCTTTTTCTGCCTTTATTTTGGTAATTTCCCAATCGCTACCACTTATTATGATACTTGTATCGTCAGCAAAACAATAGATATTCATATTTTCATCACCCAGCTGCTCCATTATGCGATTCATGTAAATATTGAGCAACAAAGCAATACATTACTTTCCTGTCCAGAGACAATAGTGGTTTGTTTTCGATCAGCAAGATACGACTTAATAAAGTTATTTGGAATACCCCTGACTCTCACACGCTCTAATCTTTTCAATAAAATTTGGTGCGCCATCGTGTCAAAGGCTTTCCTCAGATCCAAAAAAAACCCCTACCACTTTTTCCCCTCATCTAAATTTTTTAGTATCTCTTCTGTAACCTTTACAAGAGCATTTCCAGTATTTGCATGATCCCTGAAAGCAAATTGATTTGAGTTGAGTAGGCCATTTCTCTCTAAAAAGATGTTTAATTTTCTCCTAAAGCGTTTCTCAATTATTTTTCTTGCAGTACTAGTCAAGGAAATTGGTCTATAGTTATTCAATCATTTTTTATCGCCTTCCTTGTATAATGGTATGATTTCAGTATTTTTTAATATATCAGGGAAAATACGAGTAGCAAGTGATAGATTTGTTATGTGCTTAAGCGGAATGCTGAGATTTTTTTTTAATGTTTTATCACGTTAGATGAAATAGCATTATTCCCACCCTTTACCCCATTCCTAAGGCTCATCACTTCTCTAATTATATCATCATTTGTCACAGAACGAGTTTTCACTCCTTCTCTCCCTCACACCGTGATTCCGAGCGCTTCCAGTAATTTTTCCTGCCAAAAGTTTTCCTATATTACAAAAATGAGAATTGAGTTCATTCGCAATCTGTTTTTTGTTTGTTATTTCTAAATTTACTTGGTTAGTAATTCCTTTTATTTCTGACCTACATACCTCATCATTAGTGGCCTCACTAATCACATTCCATAGTTTTTTTGGGTCATTTAAATTTCTTTGTGCTAATAATTTGTAATAAGTATACTTTGAATTTTTTATTAACATACCCAAAATTTTTCGATATTCTTGATACCTATTCAAAATAATAAAATTGTTGGGATTCAAGGTAGATTTCTTTTTAAGGCGGTTTCTATTTCGAATTGACAATGAGAGCCCACTAGTAATCCAAGGCTTCAATTTCTTTTTCTTGTTTGGTATTGTTTTTATAATTGTTGATTCCATAATCATATTTTTAAGAATGTTCACGAATATATTTGTACACAGTTCTACATTATTCTCCTGCAAAACCTCACCCCACCGCTCATCTTCAATTTTCTTTTCTAGCATTTTATGGTTTACTGATTTGTAAGTATTAATATTATCTATGTTGTTAAAGGATGTTTCTCTCTGTAAGATCATTTTCCAAAATCACAGCCCTAATATTGCTAAAAAGGTCACTCTTACATTTAATAAAAAAGTGATCTAAACAGGTACCTCCATTTTCAGTAACTCTTGTGGGTTTATTTATTTATTTATAGTTATTTGTTGAATCCGATTCCTTAGATAACAAGTCTATATTAATGTCATCAGCAAACACATACACTCTGTTTTGGTCCTTGCTTGATTTCTGCAGTAGTCTTTCCAAATTTTCAATAAGTTTTTCTTTTGTAAAGGCAAAACATCTCCACAAATTTTTGGTTGTTTTGGAGCGTGACTTTGATAACTTTCAACTTATTATCTTGGATTATCCTATCTTCAATGTGGAGTTCACTTTTGACATAGATTATGCATCCATCACATATGTTAAGACTACTTTCATTGAAGAACAATCTATAGCCAGGAATGTTTAAGTCATTTGTGCAGTACACATTGTGGGTTTCTGACATAATTATAACATCAAAGGACTTGCCCAGTGATTCAAAGAACACTAAAAATTGATCGAAATTATGGAATATACTACGTATGTTGACATGCATAATGTTAATATCACTTGCAATATTGTCAAAGTAGTTTATATGGCATAAGCTGTCACATTCACTTGTTTCCGAGATCATATTATAATCATCCAGAATATCATTTAGCTCCATAAATGCAAAATTTATTTATTCAAGGTCGATATTTTATGTAATACTGGAGTCGCATCGTATTTTAAGGGCCTGGTCGGTTTCGTTTATTCTAAGAAAAATTGTTCCATTGATATAGAAGGCTACCTTATAGTTTTTTTGTATCCTTAAATCCCGTGTTCTTTTGAAAAGCATCCCTTTAGCCACTGGCATGTCTTCGCCACATTGCTTTATAGATATACCTTTCATGTCCTTTATTCTCCTAAGTACATCCTTTTTAGCTTGCTCATTGTTCATTTTCACCAAGATTGGCCCTTCTCCTTGTTTATCCGACCTGAAGCTCTCCAAAATTTCACTATTTGCAGTTTGCAATTGCATGGCTGCAAAAATCTTCTCAATAGTTCTGTGTTTAGCCTGGTTGCATTTAACTATTCCACTATAGATTTCGGCACCCGCCTCAATTATGATTGGTCAATTTTGAGTGCAACTATGGAAGGTGCGGAATTACGTAGTAGATTGTTAGAAGGTAATGTTTTGTTAATTTGTTTATCGCATTGTGCAATTTTGTTGCGTTCTACTCAATAATATCCATGATAAAATGGAAAAGAATCAAAATGAATAATTTGCTTCATCAAGGAAGATTCAAAAGTGCGGATGAAGTAATTGAATGGCTACAAATTTACGAGGAACAAACTAGAACTTCGTGGCGCGTAAAAACTGTGTTCAAAAACAGAATAAGATTTATATTCAGCTGGGTACCAATTTGTTTCATCGAGTGATAATAAGATTAGTTATCTATGCATTGAGAGATCTTCCTGTCCGATTTATTGGTCATAATGATGTGTTTTTCAGGGAGACATTTTTGTGTCATCATGGTGGCTTTCAGAGAGCTAAAAGTGAACAAAATAAAAAAGGGAGTTCCAAAAATATGAGGGCATTGCAGAATTAACCATAACAATAAAGAAAGATACAAAGGATACTCGAAAAAAAAAATGCATATATTAAGGTACCTACGTGCAGGTACCTAAAATAAACTACAATCGTATCATATACCTAATTAGTTGTTTTTAATTAAATCACCTCAAAAACAAAAAAAGTTACCTATATGAAGAATTTCTACCGTATTGCACTCTCGTTTTGGGCACCGTCCTGACATATTCTACTATGTGATTCAGCACTTCTGTAGTTTCACTTATGCCTAATGAGTATAAACATTCCACTTATGACTTGAGCACTGCTCACACATTCCACTATGCGTTTCAGCATCATATCAAAATATTATTTAAATCAGCTAATCACCTTAGAGACGGGTGTCGAATCATATAGTGGAATGTCTAAATACAGCATGGTTTGTTTTGGGACCCCTGCAACTATCAGGTTTTTAGAATTTTCAGTGACCTAAAAAGCGTCCATTCTCCCTTCTAACGACTGCAGCCGCTTCTTCAACTCCTCGTTTCCCTTTTTAAGTGCCTGGTTTTCCACCAGAACGCCCTCAAACACTCGCTTTTGGTCCTCAAAGAAAGTAGTTGGATAAGGACGAACATAAAAAGCCGATCAAATACTCGCCGGCGTTTTGCCTTAATTGTTTAAAGACATCTTCAGAGCTTGTATTCAAAAGATTTACTGGCTGGTTTATAAAAAAATGATGATCCGATATTTTCCGATCTAAGTACCTAAGTACATGCAACGCACGAACAATACAATGTAAAAACATGAAAAACTAATAACTATAAAAAATCGAAAACTCGGGAAACAGAACTATGGCAAGTGTGAAAAGTGCTGTTGGCTATGTCAAAAATAAAATTTCACACCCAAATATCAAATAATCTGACCGCATGTTCTACCCAACAGCCAGAGTATAATAACTATCACAATAATTTTAGAACAAAATTCTTACCCTTTGACGCTTCCCATGACTAAACTTCCCATGATTTATTGACGTATCTAGCTTTGGTAATTTCAATTTAATAGGTTTTACCAATGGAAAACGCTTTTGTGCGGGCAACCGAGGTGGTACATTCTTGATGGTTATTGGTGGAACCAACATGGGCGAAGGTGGTGCTGGGATTGTCTAGAAAATAGCAACATTTAAATATTCTAACTGCTGGGCCGTGAAGAATTTATACATTTCTGCTGCTAAAGTTTTGAAACTTGTTTGTTAAATAGCTGGGCTAATCAATATCAAAGACTTTCTTAAAGGTTTATGTGTAATGGTTAGAATTTTGAGAGAAGTCGAAGAAAATATTATTTTTGTTTTGGTTGACGTTAGGATGGCGTGCGTGGAATTAACATACATAGCAGGTATTGACATAATGGATGGGTTTTCTTTAGATTTGAAAGTTAATACAAAAAAATTAGTAACCATACAATGAGTTGATATTACAAAAATAGATAAAACAGGATTTCAATTCCTTATAAATGTCAATAAACACTTACTCGATTATTTTCTACTCTAATTCTTTTCGCACTAGGACCTTTGCCTCCTTCCTCATCACTAGAATATCCATAAAATTTATTTGGCACTCTCCTACGTTTGGAAGCGCGAATACTACTATCGGATGTAGTGGATTCTTGATTAGTATAACTTAGAGATTCCTAAAAACAAATATAAATAAATTATTAAAATGTCAAGGGAATGAATGAATGATTCTATAAATTGAAAGCTTAAAGCTGTAAAATATTTTCCCTATAGATAAGATTTCTTATAGGTAACCTAAAACTAAAACAACAACAAAAATGTCCCTTTTTATATTAGAAAAACATTATGATTTTCAAGTACATAATAACCCTCCTGTCTGTCATGAATAACTGAGTCAGACTCAGAGTTTGAAAAAAAAAACAGAAAAGGGAAAAACTGGTAGTACAGCGACTTGTAAAAATGGCAAAAGAGATTCAAGGACTTGTTCAAAGATAAAAGATCATGATGAAAAGTGTTAGACATTACACATAGATACAAAAGTTGCGGGACCAAATGATAATGAAATAGTGGCCTCAGAAGTGGCAATTGTATGTGTTATTATTACTAATTAGTTATAACATAACACTTTTTTTTTGTAATACTAGGAATATCGCGTTATCAAGATTTACAACATTGGTTATTGGATTAATTCGTATTTTGTTTGCCTAATTTATAAAATCGCTGATTCAAATTAAATTAAATCGGTCGAACCCTAGCAGGACTCAAATAAAAAAAGATTACAGAACGGTAATATTTTTAGATTTTGAGAGTAAGTTTTACATTCTTGGTATCAACCGATCAGCTATTTTCTGAAAGACAAAGCAACAAAATAAAGACAAGAATGAAAATGGTTCTGGTACGCTTCGAAAGTCACTCAAAAAATGTTTTTATTTTCTCAAACTCTGTTCTTAATCGATGTATTTTGACGTCTCCATAATGTCAACAATAAATTGGAGTCAATTAGGACTTGAACATGATCCCCTACCTTAAAAGTAATAAATAGTACTTACTCTTGTCTGGGATGACATTTGAGGCGTAACAGGTGAATTCCCGGTTACTGATAAACTTACGGGTTCTACAGTAGGCAATATATTTCCTGTTTGATGGAATTGTTGATAGTATGGTATAGATGGAGGCGGTACAGGAACCTCGGTCTCTTCCATGAATGAAAAGGTTGGTTCTCTCTCAGGCGGTTTTTTCTCGCTTTTTCGTTTCTTGCGTTTCTTCTTTTTCTTTTTAGGTTGTTCTAAAAAAAAATGATAAAAAAAAATTGTTTAAACATAACTCAAAAAGGCATGTTATTACTTTCTTCCAGGAGGCTTCCAGCTGGTGGAGTAGGAGGTCTACTCGTGCTCTCAATAAACGATCCGTTTGGCACCACGTTAGGTCCAGCTTCTGCTAATAGTTGAGCACGTTTCTCTTCTAAAAATTTTTTCGCCATTTTATGTGGTTCTCTGTCATAAAATTCTTCATCTGTATCAGTTTCGGTTGTCTCTAAGTCACTTTCATGAATTGGCGCCTCAAATGGTACCGTAGATGGATTTGGTGGTAAAATATCCAATTTTATGTCTGTATCCGCAGGTGATTCTTTTTTTACCTTTTTCAGAGCTTTATTTTTTTCTCTTCGCTTGAGACGCCTTTGCTGTTGTTTTTTTCTTCCTTCTGCGCTCGAACTATCAGAATTCGAACTGTCTGAACTTGAACTTGAATTGTCTGAGCTACTGTCTGAGCAGGAGCAACTAGATCCGCAAGCACAACTGGAATCACTATCGCTACTAGAAGAGCTGGATAAACTTCTTTTGATAGGAGAACTAGGTTTTATTGTATCTTCCACAGGGAAACTTGTTCCTGAAGGAATAACAGATGATGCTGTCGTGCCCTCAGCTTTTGCATTTTCATTTTGGTAGCAATAGTTGTGTTCGGTACTTTCTTTTGCTTCCAAGGCAGGCTAGAAAAAACTATCATTAAAATCGGAAAATTGAAAATGTTTAAATATGTACTTATGAAATACGTGCAACACAATTTTTCAGGACCAGATAGGTAATAAAACTGATTTATTCCCTGGCCGAAACAAAAAAACCCAAAACATTAGAGAGAATAATCATTCCAAATAATAGCATCTTGTTTCAAGTGTGTTTATCACGAAATATTTGAAAATCAAAGTTTTGTCCCACGTTACTACAGAAATACATATTTAATTTCCAAATATTAATCAATGTAGTATTTATAATTTTACAAAAAAATGTATAAAGTAATAAAATAACAACAAATTGACTGTTTTACATGAAATACTAAATGTCTGTCTGTGCAGACGCAAATTTATTTTTTTATCGGCAATGGCCCTACGAGAGTTCCTTCACGTGATAGATGATAAAAAACATTTCAGTATTCTACTCTGGCAGCGTTTCAGCGTCATCGGAAACCCGCCTAATCAATTTACTAGCATGTCTTTTCGACGATGAGACAAGTAGGTGGTTCTAGATTCTTTCAAGGTTGTCTGAATAAATAAGTGTACATAATGTTTAATTTTGCATGGTTTGGCTAACCATAACAAAAGAAATTTCTTATACCCAGTTTATTCACCTTCTGATAACCTGTCACATAATGCAATCTAATGGATGAAAACGCAATCTATAGTCGTATTAGTTGACTGGATACTGGTTTCGTGTATATTTGTGTTGTAGACAGTTACCAGTAAGTTTATCGAAAGATGAATAAACCTGGGGTTAGTTAACAAAATTCACTAACCATAACTTCCAGAATTGAGTCTGCTGTTGGAGCTTCTTCAGCATTCCTACAATAATCATGGTCTAACAATGCTTCATCGGCGCCAATAACTTCTTCTACTTCTACTTCCAATTTAGGTATTGGAATATCAGGAATGTAGGGTTGGTCAACTTTCAAGTCTACATCTCCAATGAGCATATTATCCAGTTTTTCTTTATGGGCTTGATAATTTTTAAAATTATCCCAAATGTCTTGCATTACTGAGGACGGTGTATCATCTAGTGGAGGCTGTACAGGTTCTGGTATTTCAAGCAGAGCATCTTTGGTAGTAGGATGTCCATTAAATAAAATATGTTCGGACAATGCCAATAAGCTTTCCTCTTCTAATGGGGGTTCAGTGATATTTTCTGTAGTAGTTTGACTATTATTACTTTCTGAAGTAGTTTGACTAGTATTACTTTCTTCTGGATTGGCTTCACTCTCAGCATCACTAGAGTCACTCTCAGATAAATTCAATTCGGGAAGATCATAAACATCTACTTTAGGCTTAACAGGTTTTGGCAGTTCTCCCTCAACAACTTCGTCAGACTCTATTTTCTCCATGGATTCTTCAACTTTAATATTTTCTGCGTGATCCTTCACTTCTTCCTCCACAACAATTTCTTCAGGAGGATCTGTATGCCGTTTCAAGTGTTTAAGCATTAATGGTGTTGATATAAACATTTCTGAACAATCTTCCCAAGTGCAAGCATGCTTCTTTTCGTCAGTATGTAATCTTTTATGAACTTTTAATGACACAGCCTTGATAAAAACCAAATTACATTCTTCACAAGTAAAACTTGCAGGTGGCATACAAAAGTGATATACATGGGACCACTTTTTCTGCAAACATCGTTTACAAAGCACACTTTCAGTTCCATGTTTCCAGAACAAATGCCTGGTGATATCAGCCTTGTTTCTACACAAAGAGAAGAAAGAATTAGTATTTAGCATAATAACATTTTAAAGGTAACTCTTTTTGCATTCTGTTTTTTTACAAAGAGAGTTGCTTTGGTCCGAACAGAAATGCGATTCTGAGTATACAAGACCATCAATGTATCAAAATCTCAGCCTGGCGCCAGGTTGAATTTGTATAATTAGTTGAGATCAAATCTGATGATGACTTATGACCAATGTGTTGAAATAGAGTCAACTCTATGCAGATTTTGAATTAAGTTAGATGAACTTACCTATAAGCAATTCCACATCTATAGCAAAAATGATTTAATTTATGCTTCCAAACATGATTGGAGAGTTTATACTGATTGTGGCACATTTCCAAACAAACATCACAGGCGTTGTGTCTTTTTCGTAAATGAACCATTAGTCTAAATGAAGAAGGAAAATCGTCGCTTATGCACAAACAGCATCGGAAATGTAAGTCTTGTTCTACATATACGCCTGGGCATAAATGACAAATTAGTTCACAATAACTGTAAAAACTGGATTTACACATTATGCACAATAACAAACTTTTGGAATGGAACTTTCTATTGTGGGCATAAAGTTCCTTATGTATTGATGTAGTGAAATGGCACTGAAAACATTCGAATACGTGCGAAAAAGTCACTGCTTCGTTTGAAGCCCCAGAAGCCAAATTGAAAAATACACTCTCTACCTCTTCTAGGCAATCTTTAAGTCGCATATTGAAATTTTCTGGCATAAGTTCTTCTTCTGTAATACTTTTGTTTATAGCTGAATAACGATGTTCAGCCATCGCATGCAAAGCTAGTTGACGTCCATTAACGGCTATTCTACGTGAGTGATTGCAATAAATACATGTGAGAGAGGTAGCTGTAAGACATTTTTGTAATAGGATTCTTATATCCATTTTATCTAAAGGCTGATCTAATTCAATTTTAGTGACCGAAATATCTGGACCTGCCACAAGATGTTGTGGACTTTTTGGTATGGTTTCATTTTCTTCTAGGACAGATTCTTGTGGTTGATCCTTGTTGTCTCCACTCACATCTAGAGAAAAGAAATATCATTATTAAAATTGTCATAAACTCAACTTTATACACTTGCAAAAACTAAAACTGAAGTACCTAAGTCATATTAATAAATATTTTACATGGTATGTAAAATAACTGCTCTGGTTTATTCTTCGCAACATTAAAATTCATGCATTATTCTTCTATATTCTAGTGGCTGACTTGTCATAGCACATTTATTGAGCACGAAGAATTTGGCCTCAGTTGTGGGATGTTTCAGGACACAATAAAACTTTAAAGACTCGCACAACTGTACCATTTGTGACCTTGACTTTTGAAAATAAACACTTAGCCCCCATTCATCTCTGGGAGAACACTCTAATAAACATTGATTGTACTAAGCGGGTACAAGAACCAATAATTGATAATTAGCACCCTTTCTCCCCACGAAAACTTTCTGGCGCGAAAATACTATTTAGTCCAAGAAACGGGGATCTGAAAAGGGGGTTTACCTCAACATAATTAGAAGTTACCATTTTTTGGGGGGGATCGGTCCATTTTAATATGCTAAATAACATATTAAGTTTGCGAGCTTCTACTTTCATAGGGTTTTTAGTTAGGGGTGGTTTTTAGGGGTAATTTGCGGTTTATGGAGAACGCTGCTCAAAGGGATGCTCCAATAGCAAAAAGTTTCAAATGATTGTTGTAGCTGATGTTTTTTGCTATAAAAAACTCAGCGACAGCACTCCTTTATCTTCTATAGTTTTTTTTCTGCAGCGTCTTGAATAGTAGCATGTTTTTGTCCAAGGTCACTGAATCAACGTTTAGCTTGTTAGCGCGCATTTGATGCTGCAGCGGCCGAATGCATAATCCGATTTCAATTTTTCAAACACCAGATTATTGCTAATGAAATGCACTCTACAATGCTTTTTTGATTGAATTTTTTGCTTGAAAATTAAGCGAGCACGGACTTGCCTAATGTGCGAGGAAGTTGTAAATTGAATCGAAAACTACCCCTTTCTTGCATTCACTGTAATTTCTAAACGGGGCCAAATATTTGGTGACAGTTTTCAACAATCGGCAGCCCATTTATTCCTCTTATAATGCCCCAGCGGATTTTTTTTTCGTTAATTACTTAATGACTATTGGCCTGAACACGTCGCGCGGAATTTTTCAAAAAAAAATGTCGCACAGCACTGAAATTTGGTACGATGGCATTATTTATTGTTCTTATGAATATACTGCAATTTTAATTAATTTAAAAAAAAATCCGGTGGGGCATTATAAAAGGAATAAAAGGGCTGCCAATTGTCGAAAACTGTCACCAAATATTTGGCCCCGTTTAGAAATTACAGTGAATGCAAAAAAGGGGTAGTTTTCGATGCAATTTACAACTTCCTCGCACATTAAGCAAGTCCGTGCTCGCTTAATTTTCAAGCAAAAAATTCGAACAAAAAACCATTGGAGAGTGCATTTTATTAGCAGTAATCTGATGTTTGAAAAATTGAAATCGGATTATGCATTCGGCCGCTGCAGCATCAAATGCGCGCTTACAAGCTAAACGTTGATTCAGTGACCTTGGACAAAAACATGCTACTATTCAAGACGCTGCAGAAAAAAAACTATAGAAGATAAAGGGGTGCTGTCGCTGAGTTTTTCATAGCAAAAAACTTCAGCTACAATAATCATTTGAAACTTTTTGCTATTAGACCTTCCCATGGAGCAGCGTTCTCCATAAACCGCAAATTACCCCTAAAAACCACCCCTAACTAAAAACCCTATGGAAGTACAAAGTCGCAAACTTGATATGTTATTTAGCACATGAAAATGGACCGATTCCCCCCAAAAAATGTGAACTTCTAATTATGTTGAGGTAAACTTCCTTCATTGCTTGGCCTAATTGTCGCTTCTCTATAGTCTGGTTACACTCTGGTCTCTGACTGTACTCTGTGTCTTCAGGGTTGCAATTTGTTTAATTTACAAGTATTACTCATGACACATTGTGAACAGGGTGTTTTGGGAAGGTACTACAAGATACATAGGTACTAAAGTATCGCTCAAACACCATATTATGTTTGCAGGTGTTGTGGGTTGTAGATGGAAGGTGTATTAAATAGCGATTCAAGAGTTGACCTGTACAGGGTGTTTCCTTATATTTTGACCCCTACCTACAGCTTTAGCTATACAAGGTGGAAAAAAACTTTAAATATGAAAGTTGTAGGGTTTTATGTCTATTATATTTTGCGAATGTCAAAATGGGCAAATTACAGGTGTCAATTGTCACAATGACAAACACTTGCATTTTTCAAATGGAACACCCTGTATATTTTTGACTAGAATGATAGATTTTTTTCTTCTGATTCCAAATATACCATATATGTTGATATTTGGGTTCAGCTGTTATTACGCTATTCAAGTTTGAAAATGAATTTACATTACCCTTAATTTAATCTGTCCTGGTTTCTTATATCAATGATGAGGCTTGCTCAATGCAATTTTAAAATTATATAGCGCAAAAACAACTGAACCAAATATCATCATATATGGTATTTTTTGGATCAGAAGAAAAAAAGCTATCATTCTAGCCAAAAATATACAGGGTGTTTCATTTGAAAAATTGCAAGTGTTTGTCATTGTGACAGTTGGCACCTGTCATTTGCCCGTTTTGACAATCGCAAAAGATAATAGACATATAACCCTACAACTTTCATATTTAAAGTTTTTTTCCACCTCGTATAGCTAAAGCTGTAGGTATGGGTCAAAATATAAGGAAACACACAAATATCTATTTTTTAATACACCTACCCATATCAATTATAAGACAATCCTAAATAATTAAAACTCCTATTATTTTGCGAGAAATGATTTAGCCCATGTTGACCCAATCTAAATTAGTACAGCTCCCACTCAATAATTTAATGTTTAAATTTCAGTAAATATAAGTTTTAATAAAACCAGCATTAAGAACCCAAATGTTTAATTATTTTTCCTTATTGATAAAGTGACCTTTGACGTTTCGCCAGCAGCATCTTCAGAGGTGCTTCCATGTCCGATTCTGGTAGCAGACTATACTGTAAAACTATTTTTCCTTATTTCTTCAAAATCTTGATCTTTTCAAGGAACAAAGCGCCATTTTGAACCATTTCACAGGCAGAAGCACAATTTAGTTCATTGGGATAAACAAATAAGTAGGTATAGTACAAGAGACAATGAAAAAAAATCCGGCTGATTTTATTATGGCTGAAAAATTTAGGAAATAATGTAGAATCAATCATGAACAATACGAAATCGCGTGCCTGCCTGCTCGTATCGGTTGCGTTTATTATTAAAAAAAAATTTAACAAGGTTTTGTAAAAGCAAAAACCGACTCATCGCGTTTTGCATGAAAATTTGTGTGAACATAGAACAAACACCCCCAAGTATGATTTCGAATGCCTGTCTACCTAAATCGGTTGCCAAATAGCGCCTGTCAAATAAAAATCGACTGAAATTTTTCTCAAAATTCGACTCGTCGCGTTTCGAGTGAAAATTAAATATACCACAGTTAAGGACATTAGAAGAACATTTCTGACTGCCTGCCCGATCAAAGAGCCGTTGCTTTCTAATGCCTGCCTGGTCCCAAAGTTCGCAAAGTATAAAAATATGCCAGGTGGAATACTCAAATTTACAAAATAAAAACACATGGACCGTGCCGACCCAGAGATGCACAAAGAACAATGATGTCGTAGCAGTGTTGCCAGACTTTTTTGACGACTTTCCTTCAATTGAGTGAAAAAAACCCTTCAAAATCCTCCAAAACAGTAGCAGGTGGCCGGCACAACAATAGTTATTATCCTATCAAGTGCAGAAAGTTATACTTTCCTGCACGCGACTGCCGTTGACCCGAACGACGCGGAGCGAAAAATACTTTATGCCTGAGTTAGGATCAACATTTTTTCTACGACCTTAGCAAAGTAGGCCACAAAGAAAATATGGGTTTTTTTTTATTAAACATATTATATTGTACATATACACACATTTTTTTTAAATAATCGACATTTATTTATTATTATACCTAGATAGATACTGATAATGATTTTTCAACAAGCTGGTAATATTAGTGCTGCTGGGATTCTGGGATGAGTGTTCGACGCCATTGCCAAGTCGGTTACAGGTAAAGTGACTGGAGACAAAAGTTCTGATCTCAGATCTGGTACTGGGACTTTGTGTTAGTGTATAACTGGGACACTCAGTTACTTTTTTATCATTGAAAATAGAGTGCATGTTCAAGTTGGAAAATTTCTTGGTAAAGGTATACAAGATGCGTTAAAAAACTATTTTTTTTTCAATGGAACGTCCTGTGAATTTTTGTTATCCAAATAGTGTTTGAAATTTTTTTGACGCTAATTTTTTAGAATTTTAAAAATTCAAAAACATACAGGGCAATCCATTAAGAAAAATGACTTTTTTGGCGCACCCTGTATACCTATGGCGCAAAAAAATATCGTTGTAGCGATTAAGATCGTTGCAATTAACCAAGAAATCCAATTTATACATGACCTCTATTTTCAATAATAGAAAAGTTACTGAGTGTTCCAGCTTTAAACAAACCCTGTACCATTGGTGAATGACTGCTTGAAAATGGAGATTTTGTGTCAATTGTCAGAATTTTGTCACACAATTTTTTCTTTCAAAAGTTACTTTTCCGCTTTGCAAATTCATGTTAGGTATAGGTAGTGTTTTTTTTTTTTTATTTGGTAATAGTATATTTCCTAACTAGTGCGGAAAGTATCACTTTTCCGCACGCGATTGCAGTTTGCCGAACTCTGCTACGCGTCGTTCGGCAAGCAATCAAGTGCGGAAAAGAGACTTTCCGCACGAGTTAGGAACACTATTTTTTCTACGAGATAAAAGTTAATATTTTTACCTACATAGTGGTACTTTCATGACCTAAAATGCGTGCGGAAAAGTACAATTTTCCGCACGCTCGTAGAAAAAATATTTTTTCTACTGACGTTTCATAATACGCTTCTTAAACGATTCAAATCTGTGTTATCG